ACTTTGGGTTTAGTACTAGGATACAGCAACACTGATGGTGAGGTATTTGGAAAGGCAGGTTTTGATACAGCTACATTAACTGTTGCGCAGAGTTGGAACTGAGCAGTTCATTTGCAAATTTTGACTATGCAGCCATGGTTCAGGTCTGCCTCTGGTCGTTTCCCATTTTGTTTTATTAATGTTTTGAGTTTCCTTCAACCACAGTCATGGTTATCCACAGAGGAACTGATTAGACTTATGTAATGCCTGTTGAAATAATCACAAAAGGAGGGTCTTTGAACAGTATCTCATTTGAGAGAACAAAGTACGTATGTCCATAAAATATAACAAGTTTTTACTGAGTTAATAAATTTAAACTTATATTTTCTAAATGGTTTTCCTTTTTGCCTAGAGAAGGGTATTTACACTTTATAACAATCCCCCCCCCAATAATTTCCTGAGAGAATTAAATAAGAGATATATATGTAGACTAGAGAAAGGTAATAGAAACAGTCCTGTCATTAGGATTAAAGGGGTATGGGCTATCATTAATTACTTCTGAGCTTATTCCACTCAAGTACAAAGATATTTTCTAATCTGTGTTGATCTGAGCAATCAGCTGAAACTTAAGATCTGATGAATTATTTTGGTTAAGAGAAATTGCTGAGATATTTATAGTTTTAATATTCTGCATATTGAGATGAAAGCTCGATGTCTTCAGTACAGCAGAAACCAATTGTGATCGAGTTGTTTTTGTTTGCTTACTTTTTTTTGATTCAGGGTTCTAAACTTATTTCCAGCCAGTGTTGAGCCCTAGGGCAGTCTCCTGATTTTCCTTAGGTCCTGCTCTTGGTACCAATTCTGTTGTTCCTTAAGTTTCTGCTTTTTTTCTTCACTTGTCTGCGTTTTCATGATTGTCTCATGTAGAAATGTAGGAGTGGAAGGCACATGCTTGGTCTTTGAGTTTGATTTCCTGCTCTTGCAGACCTTCAACCTCTGATAGTTTAAAGAACTCCCAAACATTAATGACAACTTCGTATGGATTTGTGCTTGTTCCGAAATTGTTCTTTTACTTGAATATTATTCTTTTTTCCTTGGCACTTCTATCTTGACACCTACACAGATCTCCCCCTTAGTCTTTCGTTTGTTAAGCTAAACAAAGCAAACGTTTTCAGTTTCTTCTCAAAATTTCCCTGACCATTGTAGAAGCCTTTTTCTGTTGTAGTTTGAATTCCTTTTTTAGGCATAGATGATCAGAATCAAGAACAACTAGGTTTTAATAGGGCTTCATGTTATTGCATTAATGTTGATGTCTATGTACTAGAAATATCTTCCCTGATAATTTAAAAATTTCATTTCCATAGGGACATCGTGTTGGTAGCTCATAATTACTCTGTGATCAGCTTTGCCCCGCAGTTTCATCCACTGTAATTTTTAGCTGCTGAGCTCTCAATTCTTAGCAGAAACTTAATAATTTAAGTTGGTGATGTTCTGTTCCTCATATATTAGCAGTGCTTTCCAATATCAGAAAATTTTTTAACAAACCCGAACTGTGATTTTTGGTATCATTCATACTACTTGTCATAGAATCATAGAATGGTTTGGGTTGGAAGGGATCTGTAAAGGTCATCTAGTCCAACCCCCCTGCCATGGGCAGGGACATCTTCAACTAGATCAGGTTGCTCAGAGCCCCGTCCAGCCTGACCTTGAATGTTTCCAGGGATGGGGCATCCACCACCTCTCTGGGCAACCCGTGCCAGTGTTTCACCACCCTCACTGTAAAAAATGTCTTCCTTAGATCTAGTCTAAATTTACCCTCTTTTAGTTTAAAACCATTACCCCTTGTCCTGTTGCAACAGGCCCTGCTAAAAAGTTTGCCCCCATCTTTCTTATAAGTCCCCTCTAAGTATTGAAAGGCTGCAATAAGGTCTCCCTGAAGCCTTCTCTCCAGTCATTAATAAAAATAAAAATAAATAATAAAATTGATCCCCCAAAATGTTGCTGAGGAATATACATTAGTGTTGTTCTTCCAGGTCTTTTGGTACAGCACTACATCATCTCACCTTACTTTTACAATCTGCAATACCTTTCACTGATCTCAAGTGTTCTTTATCATGATCATTAGTACTAACAAACATGACTTGAATTTAATTTAAAAAGTGGAGTGACAGAGCTTCTGTTGTTTTCTCACTCACTGCTTAGGCCAGGTCTTTTTGATATGAAGCTGATTTGTGATAAATTCAAAGTGACCATTATGTCACCTTGCATAATCCACAGGAACTCTGAATCTGCTTTTTTCTTTTTTTATTCTTTCTTTTTTCCTGTGAAGAAAAATGAAATAAAAGCAAACTATATTTGTGAGTAATGCTTTTGTATGATATAAAGTGATACCTGTTGATATTCTAAAGGGAATGGATTAACAGATTTTTGCTTTAACATCTCTCAGAATAAATATCTAATATCTAACTAATATCTAATATCTAAACTTTGTAAAATAGTATTCTGTTTATACCCTCTCTGTTTTAACATTGCTAATGAAATGTTAAAATTTTCACTTTTGCAAAATAGTAATTGTATTGCCATGAGGAAAAACATGGAGTAACTTCTGGGAAAAGATTCCACTAGCTGGGATAATAGTCATGAAGAAATAACTGTATATTTCTGAGTGCATTTATAATTTGTACTGAGATCTTGACCTAACTCAGGAAAACAGTCTTCCATCTTGTCTTTCGCTAGCTCTGGAATTCTTCAAATGTCCAGCTAGGGGAGAGATTATGTACTCTTTGTGAGCAGAAACTCTTAAGTGATGTTTCTGACAGCTGTGCTTAGAGCTCCTAGCTTTGCATTTTTCACTCTTTGAGTGGAGATCATCATGTAGTACAAGATTTGCAGAGAGCGATCCTACATAATATTTATGAAAGGTGGCTTGGCAACATACATTCCTTATTTGGTCACTTCTTACCATCTTGCTGTCCTTTGTACCCTAGCTAGGTTGCTAGTGGGGACTTGGAAGTGGTTGCCAGCAACTCACAGATGCAAGGTTACTCCCTTATGTAGTTGTAAGTAGCTACTGATCAGAATATAGTATTGCAGAACTGAGTGTTTGCATAGGAGTAAATAACTTAATATTTAGTAATGGTGTATTATTATTTCTTTTAAAATTACCTTTGGAAATAAAAATATTAGCTTGGGAGATATTCCCATTTCATACTGATGTGGGAAAACTATTTTCCCCTTCTTTTACTGCTGAATCACTCTTGTCTATTTTTTGAAGGGCCTTTTGTCTCCTTGTGTATATGTATTTATATCCTGTGCACACAGATTTAGTAATATTTTCTTGGTTGAAAGTGAATTCATGAGTTATTCTGGAAAAACTTCAAAAGTGGCAGCTTTCAAGAACATTCACAGTGTTCAAAGTGGCACCCTGACTGCCACTGTCGTCAGCAGTAAAAAGGCAGTGTCAGGTTGTTGGGCCTCAAGATTAACTCTCTTGGAGAATATAAAAAGCAGCGTCAAGTCTGGCCTGATCTGGTTCCCTACTGCACTTTAAAGCTTCCTAGGGCTTCACTGACTAGCCTCTGCTACGCTACTGAACACGTCACCGGAGACCCTATATGAATGTGTGGCTGGCTGAGTTCCCTTTCCCTGTAGATGAAGCGTCCTTATGTTGAGGCAGTTGCACGCTGTATAAATAAAGTGAATCGATTAAAAATGGATAGCACAGTTTCTCTCTCTAAAGGGAAATATGTGGTATTCACGGATGAGACCAGTTTGGTATTATCAGTGCCATAATGTGAATGACTATAAGTCAAACTTGATTAATTCTAAGTTACTCAAAAGAGCAATTACTACAACTGTATAATAATAATAATAATGTTAAGCTGACAGACTAGGATCTGGGTGAATTAATTTAGAACCATTTACTTCTAGTTTCAACTTCTGCTTATATTTCAAATTAAAGAAGGACATGGAAATTAATTTGAATAACATGTAAGCTGTAGTTAAATTAGGGAAGATTTTTTCCTCCATGTTTTATTTGTCTGTAATATTTGACCGGTAGCAATATATTTCAATATGTGTTGAGGGGATGTTCCTGTGTGTTTAAGGATATGGACTGAGTGCCTCAGTAGGACTTTCTCACTGTGTGAACACGAGTAATTTTTCTGTGGGTCTAGGATTCAGAGGAATTATGAAATCAGTTTGTTGGTGGCACTGTTTCGTCTTTGTTCTGTGAAGTGGTTTTTTTTGGTTTGCATAAGTTTGATGCCATAATGATAGCAACAATAAACATAAATAATGATTTATAATAATCAATTTCACTTGCATCAAGTATGTCTTTTAATAAAAAGTCCGGTTATTACTTTGTAGTCTTAATAATTTAAAAATTACTAAGGAGGATACTGTACCTTGGTTAGCTTGAAAGGTCTTTCATATCAGAAAAACCCCATGCATGATTGTTTTGTTTGATATCAAAACACATTTTTGCTGTCATAATACTGGCACATTTTCAAGGCATGCTGTTTTCTGGCTGCTAGCAGGGAGTAGTGGAAACAATGCAGTGATCATGCAATTTATTGAAAATAAATGCTGAAAATACTTAGTCAAGCAATGTTTTTAAATAGGGACTACGATTCATAAGGCTGCATAAAATAGCTGTTTCAATACCACAGGGGTATTTAAATGCCTCGCTGCCTGTGAACTGTTTATAATTTCTTTCTGGTAATTTTCCTTTGGATCGGATTGTCATGCTTCTTCTGAATGGTGGTAGTGCTTGTTGAGGAGTGGTCATGCAAGCAAAATTTGATAACCTCGATATGTCACTTCATCTGCTGTTTTTCTTTTGTTAATGCAAAGCTGGTTGCATAATATCTAATTTCTCCTTTAGCTGACCACAGATGAAAACAAAATCTATAATGGCAGCACTAGATTTTATAAAAAAACGCAAGTGAGGAGTTGAAGGATGTGGCTTGTTCTGTTTGGATGATGCAGGATTGCTTTAAGCAGTAAGCTTACTGTTTTCAGATGGCATTAGCAGCATCAGTGATATAGCTGTGTCAGCCTCCTTGACTACTGGATGTCTGTAATCGCACGGAGGAAACTATATTTAAGATCTGATGTCTTGAGGGTAATGACTCCAGCACTTACTGATGGACAGAATGGCTGTTAATGCTTTCTTCACTAGCCCAGAAGATTTTGAAAGATAGATGGGTCTGTGATGTACTTTTATAAGACAGGAAATGCAATTTTTGGGGGTCTCTGGAAATAGAAAGGTCATGCAGCTTGGAACCGGTGAGACATTACAGTCTCTAAGTCATCAGGTATGACCTCATAGTTTATACTAATATTTTTAACACAAGGGTTTGTTTTACAGTTTTAGGTCCTTTACAGTCTCTTTGTCTGTGTAATTGCTTCGTGTTGGATTTGCTACAGGATTTATAGGGTAGACTGTTTACATAAGCAGAGCAACGTATATCTTGGAAATCTAATGTGTTGTTAATTGCTGTTTGAACAATGTAAGGTTATTCCATATATATTTTCAACCTGTTTTTATTGTGAATATGCTTTCTTTTAACTAATTCATGGTAAAAGGTTATACCTTTGCTTTAAAGTAAAATGACAAGATTGTATTGCATTTTTAATTTGCTTTATCTTTACATGGCACACAAAGCTATTGTGTGAATGTGTGTGTTTGTTGTATGAAATGCAGTATAAGGCAGCTGTTTACCTACAGTGGCAGGTTATTTAAAACAACGTATCACATTGTGTAACAGGACTGAGCTATTCTGCAAGCACAGATCTTGCTTCATTTTGCAGTAGTAGGTTTTTTTTTTTTGCTTCATTTCAAATCAGTTTTAAAAATAGCTCACTGAACATAACAGTGAAAGTTTGGCAAGATAACTCTCCCCTTTTTATTACACTTGGTGACATATACTAATACTAATGGGTTGTAAAAGAGAAGGTTAATAACTTAAATGTTTAGAATATTGTTTAAACCCAAATTCATTTTACTGAAGCATCTCTCATCCTTTTTGTTTTTAACTGTTGCCAACTTTATTGCAAGGCTGATACTTTTGTATCTGCTAATGTATTGTGGTGATGGATAGGAAACAGTACATAAAAGAAAACAAGTATATGGGTATTTTACATAGCACGATAGTGGCCTAATTTCATGTGTGGAGCACAAAATGGGATTGGAGATACTGTTATCGCTTTAGGTGTCATAAATGCTAGATAATGGCCATTGTTTCCCTTGAATACAGCATAGAGCAATTATATTTGAAATTGTGGAAGTTTATTTTAAAAAATGATATTCAGCTCCATCTTAAGAAATTCTAGATGTATTTGCAGAACATTTCCATGGCAACGTGTTTGGCCATGTGTTTTAAAAGCTCAGCTGAAGCCTGAAAGTAGTGTGCAATTTTTCTGTTGCTTGCTCTACCCTTGTGAAACAATAATTTTCACATGTAACTGGACTGCAGATTGGCAGAGGGGAGCGGTATTTCCTGACCCCAAAGCACAGGATTAAGTGATCAAGATTTAAAAATATTTTCATATTTCCACCTAGAAATGTGAACATGTAAAACATGGATTTGATTTTGCATTTAGAACTGTATTCCGGTTTCCCATTTAATAACATTTTGTTGGAAATGTAGGTGTGTGGGAGACCACAGAAGACCAAACTTAAGAATGTGCAGCAAATTGCTTCAGTAAAAATGGCTGTCTTTTTTAATTAAAAACATATTTGTAAAAAATGTTGCATTACTTTTACTGGCCATAATTTATAGTTTCCCAGTCTACTTATCCAGCTTACATTCTTATTAATAATGGGGAAAGACTGCCCTGCTCTTAAGCTTGATTAGGTTTGGAACAATTTTACTATACCTTTCACTTGCTACAAGATCTTTTTAATCTGTTAGAATTTATTTTCAGTATTTTAATGTATTAGTCACAATGAGTACATTCTGTTTCTTGGCATTGGAATGAAATTCCTGAAAGTATTGGTTTCATGGTATTTTGGTGCTTTGCAGGGTATTTATGGACTTTTTAATAGGACCAACCCTCCCCCCAACTTCTTTGTTTTCCTTATTCAAGTATAATTTAAAATCTTGACTTACCTGTATTTTGAAGTTGGTCCTGAAGTCTCCTTTGCTCATTTAAAATAATTAGATCTCCATGGAATTTTGCGTAACTGGAAGCTATAGCAGTATGCCATGTGCTTACGCTGGACTCTGTTTCATCATTTATATTAATTCTACAAACTGCATTCTGTGGATGTTTTTGAAATGTAACATTAATGATAATCTCCAGATAGTGCAACAGGCATCCCTTGCGGCCTGTTGAGGATAGAAACTGTATCTACAGAGGAAAAGAAATTGGTGAAGAGTGCTTGCTTGAGGAAGTGTATGTTCAGGTCATTCCATTTTGAAACAGCGGTATTACTGACTATTGCAAGTGAGTTTGAATATGTATTTTCACTCAAAGGACGTAGTCCCATTATAGGTCCTTCTTCATTTGGAGGGATTAGAGAATAGTACCCCAAAGGAGTGTATTAAGGAGGTGATGTTCTTCTGTAAGAGAAGGAATTGCAGCAAGGTAGAGATACACACACGAGAGCAGGGAATTGAACTGAAGTGATCTGAAAACTTAAAACTACAAGCTATTTTGCTTGTTTAACCCTCCTCCCCCTGTCACCCAAAAAAGAAAGGTTTAAAATATACTTGCTGATATTTGGACATATTGCACAAATTTGGAGTAATTGGATCCAGTGGCAGTGTGTTGGTATCAACTTAACAAGAAGATTTTTTTTATGCCTTCTTTAAAACTATGCCATGCCTCTTCAAACCGAGTTGATTGTAACTGTCCATATATGAAGAATACTGTGTAAAGAAAGATCTCTCTAACTAAAGAATTCTTTCCCCTTGACTGTGCATAATGAGTACACATCCGTGAATATGTGTTTCCCTATCTTTAAACATTCCTATTCACAGAACTTGATGATAAAGATCTTGTAAAGAAACAAAGCTCTGTATGGATGTTTTAGGAACAGTGTTAACTAGCAAGTTGGGCAAGAAGCCCAATATTTGTGTCATTTACCAATTCTAAACTTGAATGCTCACACTCATGCACATACTCAGTTGTGTAGTGATTTTACTTATTACTGATTGCTGTTCTGATTCCACACTACTGACTTTTTTCGTATGTTATAGTACCAGTTTTTAAGGAAATGGCAACACTAGGACAAATAGGAGATTGTGGCCAAATATTCACAAATGGCAAAACAACACTAGAAGCAAAAAGTACTTTTAGAAGGAGCTGAAGGAGTTCAAGTTCTTTTGTCCTACAGTAGTCTCCCTCCTACGAGATCATCCTATTCTCTGGTCAGATTCTCCTTGTTTAGTACTTAATTCATGTACCAAGGCCTAATGACCTGAATTAGGGAAGGCTGAGTATAAACATGTCAGAAAGGTCTAAAACAAAGTAAGACAGCATAAATATGTAATAGCTAACTGCAGGGTCACAAACTATATAGCTAAATGACTAGTGTTACAAGAATGCTCTATTCCATTTAGTGTTCCAAGAATATCACCACATGATCATTCTGAATAAAGACTATTTGAAGGAGTTTTGCAGGGATACAATATGAAAATGTGAATACATCACAACAATAATGCCACAGTAATCTGTTAAAAAAATTTAAAATAGAGTCATAGTTAGTCCCAGCCAATTCCTGTAGAGGTGGGACCACCTAAGAGGGAGTAGTAGGGAAGGTGACTGTATTAACGCAGTAAAAGAGAATGGTTATGCATTACTTAGATGGCATTTTGGAGAGAAGAAGCAATCCCAACTATGGTTTATTCTCTCTCTCCCCCGCCTCCTGTCTGTCTCATAATGAGCCTCATAAATAATATGACTTGTTCATACTGTTTCTTGTTTCCTTGCAAGACCATATTTATTTTGCCTTACTTAACTTTTCAATAAAAGTTATTAATAAAAAAACATTAACATGAGTGCTGTTACACTACTGTGATCAGGGTCTTTGGCCTCATGATAATTTCTTTCAGGAGAAGCCAAGTATAAATAGAAGTTGATCCAATAGGTTGCTTAATTAGTAAAATCAATATAAACTACAGAGTAAGCTACATAATGCTTTCCATTGTGCCATACTGATTTCAGTGTGACCCTAAAAGGGAGAGCATCGCTTTCCTGAATAATTTAAAAAATGTATATACCAGTAAGAGATTACACGATGTAACTGATGGTAAGGCAGGGAAATACTGCTATTCCCATTTTATTAAGGGGATCAAGTTTTTTCTTATGTTTAAGTGATACTTCTTATCTTCTAATTTGTGCCCATTTCCTCTTGCCCTGTCACTGGGCACCACTGAGAAGAGTCTGGCTAAGCCTTTGCTACTTCCCCCCCACTCAGGTATTTGTATGCTCTGATAAGACCCCTCTGAGCCTTCTCTCCTCCAGGATGAAAGAGTCCCAGTGCTCTCAGCCTCTCCTTCTGTGACCTTTCTGGCCCTTGACTGGGCTTACTCCAGTATGTCTCTCTCGTAAGAAGGGAGCCCAGAACTGGATGAAGTGCTCCAGTTATGTCTCAACAGGGCTGAATAGAGGGGCAGAATCACAGTATCGGGGAAGGAAATTTGGATTCTCTGTTAATTAGTCAATCAAATATGGCAAACTTTGGACAGGAATCCTTGAAAAATGAGGACTGAATGCACTGAAAATTATAAATAGTAATGTTTGTTGGTAATCTTCTGGAGAAGAAAAACTTTGAAAATAGCTTTGCTTAAGTCATAGCAGTTGTTTTAGTGATGAAACCTCCTGTTGTTTTGGAATGTCTTGTATGGAATCTATGTCTCCCAATGCCAATTGATACAAGCAGAGAATAACTCCTGAAAGGAAAGGTTAAGCTTTAATATTTTGAGCTAAGTGAATTTTAAAGTAACTGAATAAAAAGATATCATCTAGTATGATATCACTAATTTAAAAAAAAAAAAAAAGGTGAACTATGGGGAACGTGAACTCCAGGGATTCATAAGTTGTGGTTTTAGGCAACTCGCCAAAAATGATGTGTTAATTTCTAGTGGAAACTCAGAGCTTGCACAGAGCTCTAAAATGTTCTCAACTGATGCAGCCACCATCAGCTGATAAAAAATACTCAGCTTGGTGCATTGAATGAAAATGTAAAACAGGCATTAAGTGACATGAGGGAGTGTTGAGGTATTGTAAAAATTTGCTCGTTTTCATAATAGCTTCCCCCTTTTCCCCCAGGCTGCTTAAATAAAACAAAAATGTATATAGGAGCCTT